CTTTATTTACAAAACTTGCAGCCTGGTGGCATGGCAGTAAGGAGGTCGATATGGTTTTTGCGAGGCTGGAAAAAGAGTACGAGGGCATGCAAGGAGGTCGATATAGCAGGACTGAAGCTAGATGAAGAAACAAAGTCTCAAATGTCGTTGCAATTAGAGGAAGAAAAAGGTTAGGCCTTTAAAATTCCAGCTTTCAGATCAAAGTTACATGCTTGGTTGCCTTTTACATTCCATTCTCTCTGTGTCATTCTTTACAAATGATAGAAGTGCATAATGTTTTTGCCTATAGATAAATGGCAGCGGGTGTTGTATTTTATTGTTTTGTGCCTGGCTTTCTACATCATCCTCAGAAACGCATACATACAAGTAAAATAATTGAGCTCTATCTATGGATTCCATATCTCCTTCAACCAACTCAGCTTCTGAATTTGATAGTTCACAGTATGTTCATTCCATGTGTGATCATTGTCAAGATAGTTCTCATAAAAACTCAGCTCACCGTTTTGCCTTGCTGTCACTGCAGCGCTGCTCCTGGTGCCATAGCGTCCCTGTACAATTGAAAATTGACGGATATGTGAGTTTCAATTCTTACAGGTAATTGGAATATGAATTCATTACTAATAGCGTTTACCAGTGGCGTGTCAACTTCAACAAATATGGAGCTTAGATTGAACTCCCAGTCAAGTTCACATATATGAGGTAATTCTCTCTTATCAGCTTTAACTCCGTCCCTCATTAGCTTTTGAATCATTTCCTTCACGGGCATTTCACCTTCACCGTATTTCTTAATCTCTTCCTCGAAATTTAACCGCAAGCGCTGAGCCTGCAGGACATAAAGCCAGTAACCAGGTACATGAGTGTTGGATCAATGACGGAAACAACCACGTATTTAACATAATGAGTATGGTTAGTTCAACTCAAAACAACCTTGTGCCAGGGTGAGTCGAGCTTTGCATTTGATAGCACATGAATCCCTGGAGAAACTTCTTGAACAAGAATCGCTTCTCCTTTTGGCCTGTTGGAGAGGTAAATCATGGTTTTGGAAGGAATGTCTGCCAAAACCAAGTTAAACCCGTTATACCGATGCGCCTCCTTGGCCAATTCTTGTGCAAATTCCTTTGGAGTCTTGGTGCTCTGCCATTGATTTATTTGCACAACACATTAACAGAAACTAACACAAGAACAACAAATGGTAAAAAATAGCGGGTAAAAAGAACGAAAACTGTACCTTTAAGAAGAGCACAGGTAGGTCTCCGCGGCTCTTTGCCTCCGGGTCGGTGTCCAGCTCGAGTACATTTGTAAGAAAAGCGAGTCTCCCTCCTCTTGAACAGGCCAACCATGTCCCTCCTGCAACCTCATCTCGCCCGCCTAGTATCTCGCAACCTTCCCACCATCCGACTGGTTTTGTAGGCCTTTATATACGTACAAATTAATACATACATATATGAAGATTAGATAATAAACAACCCCATTAACTTAATAAATCAAATAAAAGTAGCGTAATTGTGAATTAGATGGGTGACAGACTTGCCTGTTGTGATATTCATCTCTGTTTTGCAGGAGAAGGAGAGGGTAAAGAGGGTGGGCTTGCCAAAGGAACACTGCTATACACATCGTTCAATCAAACTGATTCTTCTATCTAACATGTATAATATATATGTATATATACGTATAACCTGAGCTAGCTCTGGTTTTGTATAAAACAGGTGGCCAAAGAAAACCATTATCAATAGCATTGGATTTGAATAAATTAACTCTCAGTCACAAAAGTAGTTATGAATAAAAGTAAACATACGGTTTACCGTCTCGTTTTTCGAGAACATTAATTTTTTTTTCTTTTTAAAATTGTCTTTTTTATTTTGCTATTAGCGAGTTATTTCCACTTCAATAACGCTTAAAAGATTACGTTTTTATACCACACTTTAATATTGCAAAAATGTGTTATAAGTAATGTAAACTGTATTCCTTTTATAATTTGTCTTGTAGTTAGAAATTAGAGTTGTGGAAGTCCGAATTAATATGAAATGGCCTTTCTCCCGTCTCATATTTATTTCGGCCGTCTCATATTTATTTCATTTCTTGCCACTTTTGTTTTGTTTTGTATTAGTAGAATAGTCCTTATCCTTTAATCCATTGTATTTGGTCTTATAGGAGATTAGAGTATGCTAAATAGGATTAATTAGTGATCGGATTACCCACACGCAATTAATTAATTGGGTAAGCACCAATTCCTCTGCCTATGTATTGTTTGTTTCGTAGTCAGAGCATTTAAAACAGCCTGTCGTGTCACTTGCAGGTTTCGGAGGCACCGCTTCTTCCTCTATGTACTATGCTAATTTCTCCTTTTTGTTTAAGGAGGCGCCGCTTCTTCCTCACCCTTATCGTTTAAGGATATTAATACATTGACGTGTGCAAATTTTCTTCACGCAATGCTTTTAAAAAATAAAAATAAAAACTAATAAAAAAGGTTTGGAAATTTTAAGTTTTAATAATAAAGACAAAATAAATGGTAAAGTGAATAGTACTATAATTGACTTTTTAGTGTAAAAATATGATTTTTCGTTAAAGTGAACAGTATCAGAAGTTTTTCGTTAAAATTCTCTTTTAAAAAATGTTCAAACAGATTTTCTTAAAAGTATGATTTTTTATAAATTTTTTATATTTCATGTTTAATGTTAGCACATAAATTGATGTTAAACTATGAGATGATAAAGAGTTTATAAAAAATCTTATTTTGAGAGAGGCTTCTTAGACTTTCTCATACATTATTAAATCAGAATATCACACTTTGTGAACTCGTTTAATAGAAGTTTTTCTCCTCCTCTAGGTGCCACAATTTTGATTATATTGAATGAATGCAAGCCTTTTCACATATATTAAGGAAAGTAACTTCGGAGTTTATACGTTCTAATAATACGATATAATCAACACTAAAAGATTGGGGAGTAGGCTAAAGCTTCACAATGATTGGCCATAAATTTGATTCGAATTCAACTTAAGATCTCTCACTTACAAGAATAATTTATACTTGGATTGTCTTGCTAATTATGGTTTTTATATATAGAGCGTCTCTGATCTACTAGGTACAAATTTTAGGCAACCTAAGCTGCATTCAATTTACTTATCTAAACTTTGCCCCTATAGGATGAGGCAAAGTAACTTTAGCAACATTTATTGTGAAAGGGAAAATATGTAGGGTCTAATTTATCTCAATTGTAGAAGGGATGTGCTATCCACACATCATTTTTTACTTATTCCACATCTCTTGTTAATTTTTGTCATTTGATCTTCTTTAATTCATCCGATTCGATGGCCGAAAATTAAAAGGGTGTGAGAGAAGTAAAAAATGGTGTGTGGATATCACATCCCTAGTAGAAAAGGGAGATATGTAGAATCAGTAATGAAAAAGGCGCATAAATATCCAACCATCATCTGTTATACATGATCTAAAATATGAATCAAAAGATCGTCTCTCAGCATAGTATTTTCCCAAGATACGGAAACTCAATATACCTCCAACCTCAGAGTTCCACAAATTCAAATCTTAGAAGAACAAAATAAAACATAGAACAACACTTGCACCACCGTTGAAAGACTTTGCACTAATTTCTGCACATCCAGACAACTCTCATCATCCTTGTGCAGCTTACAAATGGACCAGAAAATCTGCCTTCCTTGGCTTATCTGCACCAGCAGGATCAAGTTTGTACTCGATCATCTTATATTCGGTCACGATCCACTTCACAATACTTCAGTTTCCGTTTGACACTGACTTTCTTGCCCTCATAAAGGACGTCAAATTCTTTGCCATTAATCCAATGTCCCTTAACATTTTACCAATTCGAGTCTGATCCAGGCGGCCATAGGTGATGAAATACCACGTATTATTTGCTTCAGGAATGCAATACTCTTTGCGTATATGATACAAAACAAACATTACTACTTCAATCTATAGAGGTCAGATGGTAGAAATGGGATCTCACTCTTGCACTTTACCATTCTGTATTGTTGGATTCAGTGGCGGTGGGTAAAACATGAAGCTAACCAAGCAATTCACTCGTTCATGTTCTAAGCAGATGCTGAGCAATTCACTGGTGGCTAGAAGAGGTTGGCTGAGCAGATGCCAAGCTCTCTGATTCGTGTTCTGAGTGCTATAAATATTTGGCCATTTTCTGATGCACTTCTGAGTGCTAAATCATGAAGCAGAGACTAGAAGTACTTTCCTATTTGCTCGCTTGGAAATAGATTATTGAATGGTATATTTCTTTATGAGAGTCGAGAAGGAGAGATTGGGGGTCGAATTTGGGTTTACTGTATTTATTTATTTATTTTGAACAAACGATATTATCTACACTAAGGGAAATGGGGTGGGCTAACCTCACAATAAACTAGTAATAATGTGATTCAAATTCATCTTTAGCGAGAATCGAACTTAAGACCTTTCACTTATAAATGAAGAGGAATTAAGGTTGGCTGTATTTTGGACACTGAAAATTTGAGTGTCAATTATTGAAATTCAAACGGTCGTAAATCCAGAATATTAAAGATTTTAAAAAGTCTGTCACGATTTGTGTTGATCAGTAAGTTTATGATTTTAAAATGCTCTCAGGAGGAGTTTAGGGTTTGGAGTGTAGGTGTCAGGTTTTGGAGTGCACAATTCATCAACTAGACTCTACGCCCTAAGCGATTAATGTAGTAATTTTTTTTATTTTTTTTTATAAAAAAAAATACCATGTCATTCACCTCTCCCAGACCCTGCGTAAAGCGGGAGCTTTGTGCACTGGATACGACCTTTATAAAAAAAATACCATGTACTGTGTTAGTCACGATTCGGTGGGAAGGTTTGAGAGTGCAACTTGGATAGGAACATCTGATTTTAGTCGATTTCGAGCCAAAAAAGTTTCAAAACATTACATACAAAAGAAAAAAAATGTAATTATCAAAACTACATAGTATAGATATATTGAATAAAAATAATAATTATCTAAACTACATATTAATAGAATCTTAATTGTCAACCAGAACTTCATAAAATTACCATTCCAACACTCTAATCAAAACTGAACAGAAATAAATAACATAGGTAGTATGCATTAAAAAAAAAAAAAAAAAAAAAAAAAAAACTCTCTCCTCTCTTCTCATCCCACGTTCTCTTCCTTCTCCTTCCATTCTAAAAACAAAAGTAAAAAAATGTTCAGAAACACTTTATGGGCATATGCTAGTACGTATTAATCAAATCTCAAATTTTGCGAAGCGGATTAGGAAACTTTTGATTGAGAAGACTGTCAACTCGCACCCACCAACTGCAGCCCAACTCGGCCAGGCTCAGGTTGGCTTATTTTCGCCAAGCTGCTCTCGCTTGCTCAGTGCCACCAGACGTCATCTTCATCGGTGATAAAGATCCGTTTCACCTGCATCATACAATTAATTTTGTTCGATTCTCAACCACATAATTAAACAAACAAAAACCAGTTGTTAGTTCCAACAATTCATAATAATTTATACTCACAGGGTTCTTCTTGTACATAGGTTGTAGTTTCATCATTCTCAGAACTGGCCGCTTCTTCTTCTTGTGGTTGCGACGACCATATATGTTGCTTCTGTTCCTTCCCCAGAGAGCGGAAATCTTTTTTTAAGACACAAGAAGCAAACAACTAAATAAGGAATTAAGATTGTGGTCTAGTTTGGTATTGATGTTCTTTGAAAAAAGACCGTTTCCGTTGTGTTGTGAGAATAAGCTGAGAATAAGCTAATTTTTACTCCTTCACGTTTTCAACTTTTTTTCGCTTAAAATGGTGAAAATAAATTGTTTTTTAAGTGTTTATCAAATATCTTTTTGAGTTTAATTTTTTTTATATCTATTTTTTATAAAAATATCTCATTACTAAACCAGTACTATATGTAATGTACTACATCCTAAAATATATAGGAAGCTTCATAATTGTTCCAATCACCACGTATCATACTATCGAGATACGAGTATCATACCTTTCGGATACGTTTCAAACTAAGGGGTGTAGTCAATTGAGAATTCGAGAGATTCTAATGGATTTTATAAATTCATGAATTTTTATGAAGTTTAATTGATTTGTAGAAATTCCATATAAACTTTTGATTCAATTCTCTCGAAATCTTATGGGAAGATGTGAAATTTATGAATGCTTAAAATACACTACGATATCTCTCTAATTCCTTCTAATTCCTCAACTTTCTTAAATTCTTTAAAATCAATTCCTAATTAAATACACCTAAAATGTTATAAACTTCCTTAAAATCATAATTGAATACATCCGAATTTTTAAGAATTTTAATACACTATTTTAAAATTCTAAATGAATACACATTGAATTTCAGTTTCAGAGAATCACTTAAAATTCTGATTGAATACCCTAAATTCATTAAAAAAATGAAAAAAATTTAATAAATCCACACAGAATCGTGATTGATTAAAAAAAATAGCTAAACTGAAACAATTGTTGACTAAAAAACAAAACGATTTTGGGTATAAAATTCGGATTTACCTATTTTTCCTCACTCGAACCTCAGAAATCAAACTTGTCGTCTGCAATTGCTCCGTCGTCTCTATTGTCTCTGTCTGCAATTGCTCCGTTGTCTCTATTGTCTCTGTCTGCAACTGCTCCGTCGTCTCTATCGTCTCTGTCTGCAATTGCTCCGTCATCTCCATCGTCTCTATCTGCTGGTGAGAGCTTTCGTTTTCACTTTGTTAATTTTGAATCTCAATCTGATTCCCAAAACCATCTCTGAAACTCCTCCTTTTCTGTTTTTAACTTCGAAGAAAAAGCCCCTTTTGCTTTTACTGATTCAAGACTTTTCAGCTTATCTGTTATGTAAATTAGAAAAGTTAAAAGCCCCTTTTGCTTTTTATATATAATATTATAATTGTAATTATTATAATAGGACCCATTATAATATACTATTGTGATATTTAGATTATAATACAGTGGTCTAGATATTATTGTGCTTGATATTTAGAGGTATAGTCAAACTCGAATTTAGGAGTATTTTAAAATATTTTAAAATTCTGGTGTTGTCAATTAAAATATTTTAGAATTTATTTAAAATTTAGGTGTAGTCAATTAAAAGATTATAAAAGATTTTAAAATCTTTCAAAATCAAAATATATTTAAAAAATTAAGATTTGGAAGGATTTCAATAAGTTGTTAATTTTGTGAAGTTTGAGAGCAAGAAATATATATAACCAAAACTAAAAAGAATTCAACCTCGTCTCCTAGGATTTCAAATCATTTTCCTGTTCTCAAATCTATACCAACCCCTTGGTATTCACAAATCTCTCAATGTTTGGATAACTTACAGAAAGGGGACTATAAACACAAGATTAGGAGAATTAAAACAAGGGAACTTTAACGAAAAGCACCCGGTACTGTTCACTTTAACGAAAAATCACATTTTTACACTAAAAAGTCAATTCTGGTACTATTCACTTTACCCTTTATTTTGTCCTTATCATTAAAACTCAAAGTTTTCAAACCATTTTCATTAGTTTTCCTTTAAAACAAGGGTTTCGCAATCCCATCTCAATCCATCTCCTCTCTTGCTCGTGCCCTGTCATTCCTTCCGTTGTCTCTCTCTCTCTCTCTTGCGTTCTCCTGCGTTAATTGGTCTTCTCCATCGCCGAATCCAATTGGCACTTCCACTTCTCACAAGGGATCCAATTTTTCGCCGATTAAGCAAAGCCCAATCTCCAAGACTATGAATTTAAGATCCCAAGCCTCTGGTTGTTGAAAAAATGGGTTGAAATCGATTGGAATTTGAGATCCGACAGATTCAATCGCTGCCTTGTATAGTCTTAAAAAAAAAAAAAAGGAAAGATCAATAAAAAAAATTATATGAAAATCCACCACAATCCATCAAAATCTACAAACTAAATCTATTCAAATTCTTTAAAATTCATATGAATTTTGTAAGAGTCTTAAATCTTCCTAAATCCTATCAAATCTATCACTTTTAAAATTCTTTAAAATCCTTTAAAATCTTAGTTTGACTACACCTCTTAGTTTTATCTGTTATGCAAATTGGAAATACACTGGTCTAGATATTTAGATTATAATATTTTATGTATATGCTTTCATGATGCATTTTTTATCTCTTAAGTTAATATAAATTTCTCATGTAATAGTCTCTGTTTATATAGTGGATTGACTCTTATTGTTTATATGTTTGTTAATTTAGGAAAATGAATCACCCTATTAATCATGCGAATGATAATGCTAATCTGGATGAGATTGTTGAAAATTATAATGCTCCGCTGTGGAAGTATGTCAAAAAGCTCGAAAAAGTGGGAAATAAAGGAGGAGGAAATATTGAATTTGAATGCAATTATTGTCAAAAAACTTAGGGTAAATCTCTGTTTACTACCTCAAGTTTCGTGGTTTTCAACATTTGATATATCAATTTTTTTCGTCTCAGAATCATACCTAAAGTGTAAATTTTAGGACAATCTCATACAACTGTTAGTCAAACTGTTAAGTTTGCTATTAACTGATGACGTGGCGCCTATGTGGACAATGACTGGGCGCCACATGTCATTAAAAAAATTAAAAAATTAAACTATTAAAAAAATTAATTATAAAAGTATTAAAAAAAAAAAAACCTAGAACCCATTTGTACCCCGACCTCTTCCTTTCTCCCTCCCTTCTCTCCACTGCACCTACCCCAACGTCTGCACATCTATCCTTCCCCCTCTTCCGACCATCATTCCAACCACATCCCCTCTCTTGTGGATCCACTCCCATCCCCTTCTCTGTCGTCCCCACCCCAATCTCATCTCCAATTCTCTTTCATAAATTCCATTCCTAACCCCACAAACATGGAGAAAGGAAGACCCATCCCCACCGTCGTTCAAGCATTTTTTTCCCTTTGCCGGAGACCTCATCGCCGTGACTTACATTGAGCACACCAAGAGGAAGACTGTGACGACGATGGACGTCGTCTATGAGCTCAAGAGGCAGGGTAAGACTTTTTATGGGTTCGGGGGTTAGGTTGTTAAGGTTTTAGATTAGGGATTTTGTAAATTGGTTGGTTGGTGGGCTGGTCGTTGGGTAGATTTAGGAAAGGAAATGCTTCAATTTTTATGTTTTTAGTTTGGATTTGAATGGAAAATCTACCTATTTGCACTGGCGTATGAGTCGCCACGTTCGATGTGCTCGTCCCGCTCATCCTTCATCCCTCTTCACCTCGCCGACCCACCTCTTCCCTCTTCGACTCCCTTGATCCCTACCATAGTCGTCTTCTTGCCGAAATCAAACGAAAGCTGCAATCTTCCCTAAATCAAAACAGAACCCAGAATTAAATCCTAAAAGTCAAATCAAATTCAATCACATAAATAATTAGAAAGTTTAGAAATTGGAGAACTAGAAGTCAGAAGTCAGACTTCAATTGGGGTTTTGATGGTTTGGTTGTAGACCATTTGAGAGCTCAGGTTGAAGAAGAAGGGTGGCCCTTTTTTTTTTTTATGATTTGGCGGTGCAGAGAGTAAGGGAGGTGAGGTAGAAGACACACGGGTTTTTTTTTTATATTTTATTTTATAAATACTTTTTTAATTAATTATTTTAATAGTTTATTTTTTAATGACACATGGCGCCCAATCATTGTCCACATAGGCGCCACGTCATCAGTTAACGGCAGACTTAACAGTTTAACTAACGGATGTATGAGACTATCCCAAAATTTACACTTTATGACTCTGGGACGAAAAAACACTACTACAATACAGGCTATCACTGGCGGAACAAAAATCGACAAGAAACCCGATTTCTGTCGGAATTTTGGCAAAAATACGACATAAAACAGTGCAATGTCGGATTGGAATAGCGACACTATTGCTACCGTCACAAAAGGGCTTAAGTGTCGGTTTGATAGCTTAATCCGCCACTAAACAGCGTCGGTTTAAAGCGACACTGACATCAACGTCGGTTTAAGGCGACGCACACTCAAACCTTACGTCTGTTTAAAGCGACGTTATATAACAATTAAATAATAAAATATGCAAACTAGTGACACTTTAAAGCGACACCAACTTTGATAATAATTATTAGATAACGATTAAATAAATAAAATACGCGAACTAGTGACGGTTTAAAGCGACACCACCATTGATAATCATAATAAAAAAAATCTGAATCCCTTATGTATTCGTTCTCATATAATTATAACTCAAAAAGATTATATAATCGAAATATTTTGGCCAAAACAAACAATAATAATTTTGACCCAAAAAAATAAACAATAATAAAAATAATTGAAAAGAAAAAAAGTGCCATAATAAAAAAATCTGAATCCCTTTATGCTTGTTCTCTAGGTCCGCTATCCATTTATTATTATTTTCGTCCCTCATTTTCAACTCATTGTTTTGAGTCAACAGCACTGCCATTGCACTCTTAGATTACCTCCTGGAGGAATTTGATGTAGAAGATGAAGAAGATGCATAGGACACCATATCACGAGTCACCCCATGATCATATCCTTTGACTCTATTATGATTCTCAGGACCCATTGTATCAACATACACTCGGGTCCTAAGTTCTTCATTATCCTCTTGGCCCGCCTCAATCAAAGTTTGCAGATTGCTCTCCATTGTTGCCTTGCATTACAATTTAAAAAAAAAAATATTCACATCATAAATAAAAAAAATAAGCTATAGATAATAAAAATTAATAACAATGATATACTAATATGATAAAAATATTCAAACAATCATAAATCAGAAAAATCAAGTTAATCAATTACTATTACAATCATTGACTTATATGTTTATTTTCAAGTCACAATAAAAATATCTATACCTTTATTCTATTCCAAAAAATATCTCCAACCGAAGGGTCCAGAGGGCCAAAGGGCCGAAAATAGCCCTAAAACCGTCTCCAACCGAGGGCTAGGCCAGAGGGCTCGAGAATCTGGGAGGGCCCCACATAATTTCAAAGGGCCAAAGGGCCAAAAGGCTGGCTGCTTTCGTCCTGCCAGCCAGCCCCGAGCTGGCTATTTTTTTTAATGTTTTGTTATTCCTGTCGGTTATAACCGACAGGATTTATTAAGAAAAAAATCAAATGAAACGGCTACTAGCAGTTGCATTTGATTTGATTTTTTTTTTTACATTATTATTATTATTTTTTATTTACAAAAATTTTCATATAACTTCTATTTTTTCCTATAACTTCTATTTCACAAAATTTGTTTCATATTTTTTTTAAATTCCATTTTTTCCTATAACTTCTATTTCACAAAATTTGTTTCATAGTTTTTTTTTAAATTCCATTTTTTTCCTATAACTGCCTAAGCCATTATATAACATTAAATTAAATTAAATAACATGAAACAACATTAAACAATATGAAACAACATTAAATAACATTAATCAACATAAAAATTATACAACATGAAACTTAAACAACATTTTTAAAAACATTTAAAAACATAAAACGTAAATGCCTACTCCATGCTTCTTTGGGCCCAAAGACGTGCAACCAGATCTTGTTGTAGGTACTTGTTTGTGGCACGAGAACGTATCATTCTATAGCGCCTCATGTACTCATCTATAGAGATACTACCAGTTCTTGGATTGAAAGGCAAATTAGGCTCATCATATATATTTTTGCACGAGCCCTTTTTGACCTATTTGGATTTTCTTGGTCGTCATCGGACTCTCCATCAATATACCCACCTCGCTCATCCTCCACTATCATATTGTGTAATATGATGCAAGACATCATGATGGAGTCCAAATTTTCTCGACTCCACCCTCTTGCCAGTTCGCTGATGATCTTCCACCGTGCTTCTAGAATACCAAAAGCTCTCTCAAC